TTACTACTCTCTCTCTCTCTCTCTCTCTCTCTCTCTCTCTCTCTCTCTAAAAGGTTTTGTGTGAAACAAAAAAATGTCAAAACATCTCTGCAGATCCTACCAAGACTTCACTTTACTTTTCCCCTATTTGTGATACTTTCATCACCGTGCATATGTGAACAAATTTGAAACTGTCTTGTCTTTATACGTTTTGTTATTTTTGTGGTAACAGGAAAGACAGCTTCATAACACACAGAGCTTTTTGTGATGCATTGGCCGAGGAAAGTGCAAGGCTCTCAGGCCCCATAAACCAAATGGCTTTTTCTGCTACTCCTTTGCCTATGCAAACACAGCTGCCCTCTTCTTTGACACAACAAGCTTCAAATCTTCTCTCTCTAAGATGGGATCAAAACCTGCAAAACCAAGAAGATAACAAGCCTGATATCCCCATAATACTAAACCCAAAACCTAGCCTTTTGAATCTCTCTAACCCAATGTGTCATCAAAGCTTTTCATCCAATTTTGAGTCCTCACAAAACTGTCAAAAGCAAGCCTTATCAGGCTTTCTCACCAGTGTTACCTCTTCACTTAGCTCTCCAATTTTCAGCAACAATGCAATTTCAAATTCAAGCTCCTCTTCACCTCATATGTCAGCTACTGCTTTGCTTCAAAAAGCAGCAGAAATTGGTGCAACAGTGAGTGGAAACTGTAGCAATTCTCACTCCACACTCAAATCCATTTCATCTCAGGCCCCAAATCCTGGTTTCTCTCTCTACAGTGTGGGAATGAACTCTTGGCAAGACCGAACTGAGACAGATGATAATGTATCAGAGATGAGTAATATGGTGAACTCTATATCAGCTGCTAAGTTTGGGTCCATTTTAGCAGAGATGAATGGGATGAGCAATATGAATGGTATGAGTGCTATGAATGGTTTGAATGGTCTAGAGAGAGAAAATCATGGAAATCCATTGACAAGGGATTTCTTGGGTGTTGGAGAAGCTAACAATATGGGTATGAGAGAGCTGTTGTCTTTTGCAGGCATGGACTTGTGCATGAGCTCATGTGACCCGAACCAGAGCCTGAAACAAGCCAGTGCATCACCATCAACAAATTTCCAGTTCTCTGAATCGTGGGATGGTTGATAAAAAGGAAAGGAGAGAGAGAAAGATGAGCAAGAGAGAAGGAGCAATGGGTTTTTTTCTCCAGGGAAATCATGTGCTTTTGAAGGATGTTTGGTCGACAGGGATTCGACGATTTTTTTCCTGTTTTTTTTTTTTTCCCCTTTAGTTGGGTGGGTGTAAGGGGTAGAGAGAGAGAGAAGGGTAATAACAATAATGGGAGGAGAGAAGTGTTGGTGTTCGACATGTGGTGGTGTGACTGCGTATGAACAGGCAGATGGAGAAAGAGAGAGAGAGGGGGAGAAAGAGAGAGAGAGAGAGAGAGAGAGAGAGAGAGTAGTA